CCTCTTGTTTGATTTATAACGTGAATCTTGGGGGGAGTCAGGTGCGTTGGTGGGGCGGGGACAGCGGGAATGTCGCAGGAAGAGAACAGCAAGTTCTCGGCCGCCGATCGAGGAAGTGGTTTGCAGTTGCTGAGTGCACGGTGGCCACCTGCGGTGGGCCCGGAGGAGACCCAGTCGAGAGCTTTGAACTGTACCCTCAAGCCAGTGGGAGCCTCTGAAGAATTTTTTTTTTAATGCCAGCTTTATGGAGACACAATTCATATAAAGTGTACAAGTCCGTGGGGTTTAGTATATTCTCAGAGTTGCGCAGCCGTCGCCACAATCACTTTTAGAGTGTATTTATCACCTTGTACCTGGGAGCAGTCACCTCCTCAGTATCCCCTCCCCCGCAGCCCCTGGCAACCACGGCTGCTCTATTTTCTGTCCCTGTAGATTTGTCTGATCTGGACATTTCATCTAAATGGAGTTGAAGTCTGTGGCCTTTTGCGTCTGGCTTCTTTCCCTTGACACAACGTTTTCGAGGTTCATCCGCATCGTACCGTGAGCCAGAACTTCATTCCTGCTTAGAGCTGAGCAATAGTCCGTTGTCCGGACGGACCACGTTTTGTTTATCCCTTCGTCAGTTGATGGACAGGCGGGTCGTTTGGGGGTGTGCGGGAGAGAGGAGGGGTTCAGTTCATTGCAGATCTCTGGCTGTGTCACTGACAGCGTGGTTGTGCTGCTTACCGTAAGGTGGGGTGTCACGGAACACGGAGCAGGTTTGAGGAGGGGCGGCTGTCGGACGTGGGAGTAGCGGAGCCGGAAGGGACGTCCAGGCCGGCAAAGCCCGGCTGCTCTCGGAACCTGCCGACCCAGCCACGGGTAGATGCTGAGGCCGGACGGAGATGCCTCCGAGTCCAGGAGGCCCCTCCGTTCCCGTGCCCGAGGACCCCTTGCCCCTCCGGTATCTGAGACACAGGAAGAACACAAGTAGGAGAACACCCTGCATGTGCCTTTGCTGGGGTTCGCAAAGCGTCTCAGCGGCGCCAGGCGAGGACACGTCCTTGCAGGCAGGGTGGGTAGGACTCTAAACTTGCCGCCACCACTCTCTGCCCGTGTAGACGACCCTCACCCGCCGTGGTCAGACCACCTGGTGGTGAAACCCTGCCAACCACGTGTCTACTCCCCTGGGGGAGAATCTAGGGGGGTGTGTGGTGCCCCCCGTGGCCAGCCCAGGAATGCTCTGTAATATCTGGGGGGACGGGGGGCGCCCCCAGGGCCCCCAGCACCGAAGCCCTCCTCTCCCGAGCACCCCGCTGGAGCCCCTCCCCGAACCTGCCCTCTGTGGGGAGAGCCACCGCCTTCCGGGGTGAGTGCCCGCATGGCTAATCCACTGGGGGTGAGGGCGTGGAGAAAGGCCTGGCCCTTGGCCCTTGCTTCAGCGTGGGGCAGCGCTGCCCTGGGAGGAGCTGAGCCTCTGCTGTGACCGCTCCACCGCTGCCCCCCTCTGCCGCCGCCGGCCCTGCCCCCGCCCCTGCAGGTGTGGGTCTCCACAGTGCTCCCAGGTGAGTTCCTTGTGCACAGCCCAGAGATCTCAGGGTCAGTTTCCCTGGGAACAGGCCTCTGACAATAGCGGGTCCTCAGTTTCAGTGTCTGACAGGCCAGAGGGAAGGCGGTGAGCCTTGCTGAGATCCCAGCCCCGTCCGTCTGGCTCAGGCAGCCCCTCTTGAGCGGTCTCTGCTACCACCTGCCCTTGCTGGTTGTCAGAGCATCAGGGATGGCTTTAAGCGCCACCTTTCCTGGGCTCCCAGGGAATTCATCTGACATATTTGTGGTGCAGTTCTGCACGGCCCATTTCTAGAGAAAGTTGGCTTCTGAAGAGGAGAGGTGCTTGGAACACGTCAGTGATTTCTCACTTTAAAGGGAAGCGTTGGAAAGAAACCACGTCACCGGGTGTGTGAGCGCAGAGTGCGGTTCTTGGACTAGAGGAGCTGGGCTCAGGGGAACTGGCTGGGTGCGGGGGCAGCTGGAGCCCGACAGTCGTCAGGGGCAGGCTGCTGGTCTGAGCGGCTGAACAGGCTGTTCTTTTCAAATGATGTAATTTTTCTCTCCATGAGTTTACTCTGTGAGAGGAATATAACAGTACCTCCCTGTTACTACCCAGCCCCTGGGGGAAGAGTTGTGAAGCTACTTAGGGTTTTTCTTTTTCTTCTTCTTTTAAATAAAAGAGCTTTCCAGAATACATGGCTAAACTTGAGAGAATTATCCCAAAATCAAGAAGGAAGAGCGATGTGTGTAATTTGGAAGAGTGCACTCACTGGCGTATGGGTTGGCTGGCCTCAGCTGTGCTCGGCACACGTCACAGGGGCCCCTCCCCGCCGCTGAGCTTACACTGGTGCCTGTGCTCATGACCCCAACGTGGAGGACGTAACGGGAGCCCAGAGCCGCTGAGAGGCCGGCAGCCTCTGCTGCACGCAGAGACCCTCCTCAGGCCCTCGGCCTTGCCTCGCCTGGTCACATCCTCCCGTTTTAGTCCCAGCCAAGTAATGGGCGTGTTTCTAGACCCCAGGGGAGCAGCCCTCAGCCTGAGGGTTCCATGATGTGGAGCCCGGTCACTCTGCAGAAGAAAAGCCAGGTCTGACTCGGGATGCAAGACTCACAGGTGCCCTCCGTGGCTGCTTTTTTTTTTTTTTGCGGTACGCGGGCCTCTCACTGCTGTGGCCTCTCCCGCTGCGGAGCACAGGCTCCGGACGCGCAGGCTCAGCGGCCATGGCTCACGGGCCCAGCCGCTCCGCGGCATGTGGGATCCTCCCGGACCGGGGCACGGACCCGTGTCCCCTGCATTGGCAGGTGGACTCTCAACCACTGCGCCACCAGGGAAGCCCTGTGGCTGCTTTTTAAAGGCTGCCAGACGTCAGCCTTTTAGTAGCCAAGATGTAGTGGTTCTTTCTCCTTAGGAGTTGCCTTCCGTTTATTAAAGTAGCTATCATAGAACATAAGACTTCTGGTGTTTTCCATGTGTTGTAATTTTCTTGGACCTGTATTATCATTTAATGTGCATACACGAAGACAGAGAGAAATAAGTTTCCTTCGCATGCCTACCACGTGCCAGGCACTGTGATAAACTCGTGAAGTGCACTGTTTCATTTAATTGTTCAGATGAGGAAACTGAGGCAGGGAGCTGGAAGGATACAGGGCTTGGTCTTGGTCTGGCAGAACTGGGATTTAAACTCTGCAGTCTGGCTCTGGGCCTGCAGCCTCCGCCCCTTGGATGTCACACAGCAGCCTTCAGGCTCCTCCTGACCCCGCTGCAACGATGGGCATGGCCCTCCAGAGCCACCCTTTCTCACCATCACTCTCTCCCTTACCTTGCCCAAACCGGCGCTCGCTCTATCTCTCTCTCTCTCCCTCCCTCCCTCTCTCTCCCTCTCTCTCTCTCTCTCTCTCTCTCTCTCTCTCTCTGTCTCTCCCTCTCTATCTCTCTCTCTCTGTCTCTCTGCTCCTCCCTTCTTCCCTTCCTTCCTTAGTTATCCTTTGTCACAACCTCCCAGTTGAAAACCAGTGCAATACTGCCCTCCAGTGTTTGTTTATTCATTCATCAACTACTCATTAGATGCCTCCTATGGGTCTGGCGGTGTTGGCACCAGGGATAGATACACTGGGGAAGACTGCAGATGGGCTCTGTCCCCACAGAGCTTACGGCCCACGCGTTTTGTACATTAAATGCAATTGGAAAAAAACTGTATCATATATGGAGACCCCCGTCTCCCAAATCTAGTAAGAAATGTGTTAGGTATCAAGCTTATGTTACCTACCAAATGTATAGTTATTTAATAACAGAGAACTACAGAAACAGGGTATAGTTCATAATAATAAAATAATTAGTACATTCAGACAATAGAACACAACGCAGCCTCTAAAGTAGTGACTTAGGGAATCCCCTGGCGGTCCAGTGGTTAGCACTTGGCGCTTTCATGGCTGAGGGGCCCGGGTTCAATCCCTGGTTGGGGAACTAAGATCCCACAAGCCTTGTGGCACGGCAAAAAAAAAAAAAAAAAAAAAAAAGTTTCCCTAAAAAAAAAAAAAAAAAGAGTACTGACCAGAGCAATGTGTATCATCATGAATACATCTCAGAAACCTAGTTGAAAACAAGTTACAGAAGTGTAGTCAGCATAGCATATAACAGGACGGAGTATAATACCGGACAGGAGCATCTTACCGTAGGACACAACGCAGTGTAAATACAGTGCCCTGCAGAAGCTTCATACAGTGTAATATCATTTGTGTAAAACTTTAAAGACATCCAGAGCAATACTGTGTATTATCTTGGGCACGTCCACATACAGTAAACCTGAAAAACCATTCGAGGAAAAACCACATGCCAATTTTTGGACACTCTCTGGTGTGGGAAGGAAGGTTGAGGCTTTAACAAACATTAAAGATTTCGCAGACGTGGCAACATTTAACCATGGGTTCATCTGTTTTGGTGCCTGGTTACCGTCACCTTTGGTGCTTTTCTGTGTGTTGAGAACGTTCACTGATTAAACTTGAACAGGTGAAATGGGCGTGTTGTGCGCTTCTCCCTGTCTGGCGTGTGCACATTTCTGGCATTGCTGTCACATGGATGTTCCTCTAAAGAAACACCTTAGCTACAGAAGTTTGGGGTGTGTGTGTGGGGGGGGTGTCAGCCTCCTGGGGCCCCAGCAGGGGGCGCGGCAGCATAGCGGACGCGAGGCGGCTGGGCAGCACCGCGGAAGGGGCAGGAAGGGTATTTAATAAGCACTGCAGCTTTCTGTAGGCTGTAGGAAGGGGCCCGGAATCCCCCCGTTTGGCCACTTAACAGCCACCACGTTCCTCTGCACATCTGTTGCCTTGGCCGTTTCCGAGGCTCAGGATACAGAGACGGTGCCGGACACACACGTGCCCAGAGCTTCCTTTGCCGTTGCATCGATGGGCCTGACGCTGACGTGCGGGCAGCTTTTTCCTGTCCAGGTGAGCAGGGAACCTTCCTTCTCTTCCAGGTGGAAAAGGATTATTCTTACTTGAAGGAGATATGCGATCGTCAGGCAGAACAGCTGAGCAGAACCAGCCTGAAGCTGCAGGAGAAAGCGTCGGAGAGTGACGCGGAGATTAAAGACATGAAGGAGACCATCTTCGAGCTGGAGGACCAGGTAGAGCAGCATCGAGCCGTCAAGTTACACAACAAGCAGCTCATCAGTGAGCTGGAGAGTAAGTGGAACCAAGCCCCGGGCCGCGTGGGTCAGGAGGGAGGGGAGCATGCTGGTGAGAGGTCTTCCTCTTGCGTGTGCTGTGGCCTCCCGGGAAGAACGGCAGTTAAAAGAGACAGAATCGGCAGTCTCCTCGACTGAGCTGCAAAGCAGGTGATACAGAAGAAAGACTGTGGATCGTGGGTGGACAGTGTGTGGAGTTAGGAGCACCGCGTGTGAGCCACTGCTGACCACACGGCAGGTGCCAACAGGTGTTGCCATTGGGCTCTGAGGGATAGAAGGGTAGGGGACAGGGGGTGGGACCGATTCGGACGGCATGTGCTCTTGGCCTCAGGAGAAAACAATTCCAGCATGGGCCCCATGGGTGGTTGGTATCAAATGACTTACAGATGTTACCCACTTCTTACTCAAGAGGCACCAGTATATGCCTTACCTGTGAGCCGGTTGCTTGTTTTGAATAGGGAGGGATGTTTGTCAGAGATTAGTTAAACATTGCCTGCCTTGTCCAAATAAGCCTTATCAAATGATCGCATCTAATGTGTTTTCCCTTCGTAACAAAAGAATTAGCGTGCAGAGCTTTTAGTGGCACCGGCCTTACTGGCAATAGCACGGCTGGTTGCCTGAAAAGTCCCCCAACGGGTACAGCCCATCCTGATTGTTTGAGGAACCCTTATTTTCGAATTCACCTGCTCGCCCAGACTGACTTGTAACCCCCAAAACCAGTACTCACAGCGCTCCCACTGCCTCCGGCGCCCGTGCAGAGCAGCGGAAAGCTTGAGGCTCCCGATGTGCAAAACGTCGGGACCAGAGGCCCACGGGAACGTGACCCGCCTTTGCCGCGGGAGCTGATCCCGTGCGCCTGGCGACTGTACGTACCTGCCTCGACCGTGGCACCTGGCCGCATAGTCTACGCCTCGCTCCGGTGGTCCGCGTCACAGCTACTTCGTGTGCAATGTGGGGTGACGACAGGACACTCAGCATCACTGTCACACCTGAGAGTACAGCAGAACACCTGACGCCGGACCGCACAAGTATAGGGCCAAACAGGAGGAGACCTGTTTCGTTTGTATTTTGTTTGTTTTTGCTTCAGTGATTTATTGTTGTCGAGAATTTGGTCATACTGTCCCCAAATCCTAAAAAGTCAGCACAGACACACCAGGAAAGCAGCATGTAATTACTATCCGGAGCACATGTCAGGCCCACTCCCTCTGGTTATGTCATAATGTGTCCAAGACCGAAAAGAACAGTGACAGACCTGCATCTTTTGAGAAGCCGTAAACGTCTGTTGGGGACGTTAGGGTGTTGATAGGTGTCTTTTCACCAGGAGACGCGGGGACACGAAAATACATCTCGAGATGAACCGGTCCTCCCCCTTAAGACCCTTAAGAGGAATGGACAGAAAGATAAAAAGAAGTTACGGAGCGCTGTCCTTTTCTGCACCGTTGACCCCAAACACAAATCCTCAGGCCCCACGTGTGAACCTGAACTGCTGGGTAGAACCTGACCATGTGTGGGTTTTTTGAAGCTTTTCTGGTAATTCCGGTTTGTATCCTTAATAGACAAGGACAGCTTTGGAGGGACCGTGAGGACCCACTGGAGAACTGACACTACGTGTAACGGATGCGATCAGATTTAAACTGAACGACTCTTGACAGCAACGTGGAGAGAACTAGAGACAGAGAGGGACTGACGATTTTTTTTTAAGTTTCTAATTCAATTTTATTTTATTTTTTTATTGAAGTAGAGTTGATGTAGAATATTGTATAAGTTACGGGTGTATAAGATAGTGATTCAGAATTTTTGGAGTGTTACTCCATTTATAGTTATTATAAAATATTGGCTATATTTCCCGTGTTGTAAAATATATCCTTGTAGCTTATTTTATACCTAATAGTTTGTACCTCTTAATCCCCAGCCCCTATATTGCCCCCGCTTTCCTCTCCCCACTGGTAACCACTAGTTTGTTCTCTATGTCTGCTGGAAAGTAAGTGGAACCTGCTTCTTTTTTGTTGTATTTACTGGTTTGTTGTATTCTTTTTTTTTTTTTTTTTTGCTGTACACGGGCCTCTCACTCTTGTGGCCTCTCCCGTTGCGGAGCACAGGCTCAGCAGCCATGGCTCACGGGCCCAGCCGCTCCGTGGCATGTGGGATCTTCCCGGACCGGGGCACAAACCCGTGTCCCCTGCATCGGCAGACGGACTCTCAACCACTGCGCCACCAGGGAAGCCCTGGTTTGTTGTATTCTTTAGATTCCACGTATAAGTGAGATCATAGAGTATTTGTCTTTCTCATTCTGACTTATTTCACTGAGCATAACACCCTCCAAGTAAGATGTTCTTTACTAAGGAAAGGAGGTCCAGTCCCCAGTGGAGCTGTTAACGTACACCCGCCAGACCCTTGTCACCCTGGGAGATTCTGAGTCTGTGCAGAGTCTGGGGCTTGAACATCTGCTCTTTTGGAAAGCTTCCCAAGTGATTCAGAGTTTTAACTGCAGTTAAGTCCCATGGCTGTAGAAACTGACCTAAAAGTCACGAAGGTAATAACCAGCCATATCCGCTGTTACGCAAAAGCCCTTCCTCCACCTCACGGTGCTGAAGGACGTTCAGGATGCCGCCTGCGCTTCCAGGGAGGCCGAGAGTAAGTGTGTGAGTGTGAGCCGCTGTTTGCCCTCTTCCCGGAGCTCTGTGAGGCTGTGCCCTAACCTCACACCGCCGCTTTCCCGAATCATCCCACTCTCTCTTGGAGGAGCCCCCGCCTCTGGCTCCCGTGCTCAGGACGCTGAGATGGGGCCCCGGCAGGCAGAAGGGGTGGGCTTCAAAGCCTGTTGGAGGATCTGGGTCTGCTCTGCTTCCGAGCTTAGCTTCTCCCCAGGGTCTCGAGACTTTTCCAACTCCGTCTGCCTATTCGTTTCCAGGCAATGTGATGAAACTGGAGGAACAGAAGTCGGACCTGGAGAGGCAGCTGAAGACTCTGACGAAGCAGATAAAGGTGAGGCGCAGTCACGGCAGGGGTGGGACGCTCTCCATCATTTTACTGGAGGGGTCCCCGTGAACATAGGTTTGGACACCGTTGAGAGGTACCCTGACGACTCCCTGGCCCGCTGTGTATAGCAGGTTTGCGGGGCCCGGGCCCTGGAACCACGAACGGTGTGGCCGGGAGGGAAGTTCAGGCGGCCTTGATTTCAGGACGGGCACTCCGACACCCGAGGCTGCAGCCCCGCCTGCGCCTTTTCCCGGCGGCGAGGCTGCTACAGCCATCCTTGCTCGGGGACCCACCCGGGGCCCCGCAGCCCCTGCCTGGGGGCCGGTCTGACGTGGGCGCGGACTTCGGCTCTTCTAGGACGAGACGGAGGAGTGGCGGCGCTTCCAGGCTGACCTGCAGACAGCGGTGGTGGTGGCCAACGACATCAAGTGCGAGGCCCAGCAGGAGCTGCGTGCTGTCAAGCGGAGGCTGCTGGAGGAGGAGGAGAAGAATGCCCGGCTGCAGAAGGCCCTGGGGGACGCGCGGGCCCGCGGCAGGTGGGTCATGCCGCATGCACCCTGGGCCGGGCCCACCTGCCCTCCTGGCCAGGGCTGACAGCATCCACGCACGTGATGCTGGGTGTCTGTCCTGAGCCCTCCCCTCCCTCCAGGTCCCTCTGCCCCTATCCCCGTCCAGGGAATAACTAACCCCATGGCCAGGGTATAACTAACCCCACGGCCAGGGAATAACTAACCCCACGCCAGGGAATAACTAACCCCACGGCCAGGGAATAACTAACCCCACGCCAGGGAATAACTAACCCCACGGCCAGGGAATAACTAACCCACGTCCAGGGAATAACTAGCCCATGGCCAGGGAATAGCTAACCCCACGGCCAGAGAATAACTAACCCCCAGCCAGGGAATAACTAACCCCACGCCAGGGAATTACTAACCCCACGGCCAGGGAATAACTAACCCCATGGCCAGGGAATAACTAACCCACGGCCAGGGAATAACTAACCCACGGCCAGGGAATAACTAACCCACGGCCGGCCATGGCTCACGGGCCCAGCCGCTCCGCGGCATGTGGGATCCTCCCGGACCGGGGCACGGACCCGTGTCCCCTGCATTGGCAGGTGGACTCTCAACCACTGCGCCACCAGGGAAGCCCTGTGGCTGCTTTTTAAAGGCTGCCAGACGTCAGCCTTTTAGTAGCCAAGATGTAGTGGTTCTTTCTCCTTAGGAGTTGCCTTCCGTTTATTAAAGTAGCTATCATAGAACATAAGACTTCTGGTGTTTTCCATGTGTTGTAATTTTCTTGGACCTGTATTATCATTTAATGTGCATACACGAAGACAGAGAGAAATAAGTTTCCTTCGCATGCCTACCACGTGCCAGGCACTGTGATAAACTCGTGAAGTGCACTGTTTCATTTAATTGTTCAGATGAGGAAACTGAGGCAGGGAGCTGGAAGGATACAGGGCTTGGTCTTGGTCTGGCAGAACTGGGATTTAAACTCTGCAGTCTGGCTCTGGGCCTGCAGCCTCCGCCCCTTGGATGTCACACAGCAGCCTTCAGGCTCCTCCTGACCCCGCTGCAACGATGGGCATGGCCCTCCAGAGCCACCCTTTCTCACCATCACTCTCTCCCTTACCTTGCCCAAACCGGCGCTCGCTCTATCTCTCTCTCTCTCCCTCCCTCCCTCTCTCTCCCTCTCTCTCTCTCTCTCTCTCTCTCTCTCTCTCTCTGTCTCTCCCTCTCTATCTCTCTCTCTCTGTCTCTCTGCTCCTCCCTTCTTCCCTTCCTTCCTTAGTTATCCTTTGTCACAACCTCCCAGTTGAAAACCAGTGCAATACTGCCCTCCAGTGTTTGTTTATTCATTCATCAACTACTCATTAGATGCCTCCTATGGGTCTGGCGGTGTTGGCACCAGGGATAGATACACTGGGGAAGACTGCAGATGGGCTCTGTCCCCACAGAGCTTACGGCCCACGCGTTTTGTACATTAAATGCAATTGGAAAAAAACTGTATCATATATGGAGACCCCCGTCTCCCAAATCTAGTAAGAAATGTGTTAGGTATCAAGCTTATGTTACCTACCAAATGTATAGTTATTTAATAACAGAGAACTACAGAAACAGGGTATAGTTCATAATAATAAAATAATTAGTACATTCAGACAATAGAACACAACGCAGCCTCTAAAGTAGTGACTTAGGGAATCCCCTGGCGGTCCAGTGGTTAGCACTTGGCGCTTTCATGGCTGAGGGGCCCGGGTTCAATCCCTGGTTGGGGAACTAAGATCCCACAAGCCTTGTGGCACGGCCAAAAAAAAAAAAAAAGAATAAAGCTTTCCTTAAAAAAAAAAAAAAAAGAGTACTGACCAGAGCAATGTGTATCATCATGAATACATCTCAGAAACCTAGTTGAAAACAAGTTACAGAAGTGTAGTCAGCATAGCATATAACAGGACGGAGTATAATACCGGACAGGAGCATCTTACCGTAGGACACAACGCAGTGTAAATACAGTGCCCTGCAGAAGCTTCATACAGTGTAATATCATTTGTGTAAAACTTTAAAGACATCCAGAGCAATACTGTGTATTATCTTGGGCACGTCCACATACAGTAAACCTGAAAAACCATTCGAGGAAAAACCACATGCCAATTTTTGGACACTCTCTGGTGTGGGAAGGAAGGTTGAGGCTTTAACAAACATTAAAGATTTCGCAGACGTGGCAACATTTAACCATGGGTTCATCTGTTTTGGTGCCTGGTTACTGTCACCTTTGGTGCTTTTCTGTGTGTTGAGAACGTTCACTGATTAAACTTGAACAGGTGAAATGGGCGTGTTGTGCGCTTCTCCCTGTCTGGCGTGTGCACATTTCTGGCATTGCTGTCACATGGATGTTCCTCTAAAGAAACACCTTAGCTACAGAAGTTTGGGGTGTGTGTGTGGGGGGGGTGTCAGCCTCCTGGGGCCCCAGCAGGGGGCGCGGCAGCATAGCGGACGCGAGGCGGCTGGGCAGCACCGCGGAAGGGGCAGGAAGGGTATTTAATAAGCACTGCAGCTTTCTGTAGGCTGTAGGAAGGGGCCCGGAATCCCCCCGTTTGGCCACTTAACAGCCACCACGTTCCTCTGCACATCTGTTGCCTTGGCCGTTTCCGAGGCTCAGGATACAGAGACGGTGCCGGACACACACGTGCCCAGAGCTTCCTTTGCCGTTGCATCGATGGGCCTGACGCTGACGTGCGGGCAGCTTTTTCCTGTCCAGGTGAGCAGGGAACCTTCCTTCTCTTCCAGGTGGAAAAGGATTATTCTTACTTGAAGGAGATATGCGATCGTCAGGCAGAACAGCTGAGCAGAACCAGCCTGAAGCTGCAGGAGAAAGCGTCGGAGAGTGACGCGGAGATTAAAGACATGAAGGAGACCATCTTCGAGCTGGAGGACCAGGTGGAGCAGCATCGAGCCGTCAAGTTACACAACAAGCAGCTCATCAGTGAGCTGGAGAGTAAGTGGAACCAAGCCCCGGGCCGCGTGGGTCAGGAGGGAGGGGAGCATGCTGGTGAGAGGTCTTCCTCTTGCGTGTGCTGTGGCCTCCCGGGAAGAACGGCAGTTAAAAGAGACAGAATCGGCAGTCTCCTCGACTGAGCTGCAAAGCAGGTGATACAGAAGAAAGACTGTGGATCGTGGGTGGACAGTGTGTGGAGTTAGGAGCACCGCGTGTGAGCCACTGCTGACCACACGGCAGGTGCCAACAGGTGTTGCCATTGGGCTCTGAGGGATAGAAGGGTAGGGGACAGGGGGTGGGACCGATTCGGACGGCATGTGCTCTTGGCCTCAGGAGAAAACAATTCCAGCATGGGCCCCATGGGTGGTTGGTATCAAATGACTTACAGATGTTACCCACTTCTTACTCAAGAGGCACCAGTATATGCCTTACCTGTGAGCCGGTTGCTTGTTTTGAATAGGGAGGGATGTTTGTCAGAGATTAGTTAAACATTGCCTGCCTTGTCCAAATAAGCCTTATCAAATGATCGCATCTAATGTGTTTTCCCTTCGTAACAAAAGAATTAGCGTGCAGAGCTTTTAGTGGCACCGGCCTTACTGGCAATAGCACGGCTGGTTGCCTGAAAAGTCCCCCAACGGGTACAGCCCATCCTGATTGTTTGAGGAACCCTTATTTTCGAATTCACCTGCTCGCCCAGACTGACTTGTAACCCCCAAAACCAGTACTCACAGCGCTCCCACTGCCTCCGGCGCCCGTGCAGAGCAGCGGAAAGCTTGAGGCTCCCGATGTGCAAAACGTCGGGACCAGAGGCCCACGGGAACGTGACCCGCCTTTGCCGCGGGAGCTGATCCCGTGCGCCTGGCGACTGTACGTACCTGCCTCGACCGTGGCACCTGGCCGCATAGTCTACGCCTCGCTCCGGTGGTCCGCGTCACAGCTACTTCGTGTGCAATGTGGGGTGACGACAGGACACTCAGCATCACTGTCACACCTGAGAGTACAGCAGAACACCTGACGCCGGACCGCACAAGTATAGGGCCAAACAGGAGGAGACCTGTTTCGTTTGTATTTTGTTTGTTTTTGCTTCAGTGATTTATTGTTGTCGAGAATTTGGTCATACTGTCCCCAAATCCTAAAAAGTCAGCACAGACACACCAGGAAAGCAGCATGTAATTACTATCCGGAGCACATGTCAGGCCCACTCCCTCTGGTTATGTCATAATGTGTCCAAGACCGAAAAGAACAGTGACAGACCTGCATCTTTTGAGAAGCCGTAAACGTCTGTTGGGGACGTTAGGGTGTTGATAGGTGTCTTTTCACCAGGAGACGCGGGGACACGAAAATACATCTCGAGATGAACCGGTCCTCCCCCTTAAGACCCTTAAGAGGAATGGACAGAAAGATAAAAAGAAGTTACGGAGCGCTGTCCTTTTCTGCACCGTTGACCCCAAACACAAATCCTCAGGCCCCACGTGTGAACCTGAACTGCTGGGTAGAACCTGACCATGTGTGGGTTTTTTGAAGCTTTTCTGGTAATTCCGGTTTGTATCCTTAATAGACAAGGACAGCTTTGGAGGGACCGTGAGGACCCACTGGAGAACTGACACTACGTGTAACGGATGCGATCAGATTTAAACTGAACGACTCTTGACAGCAACGTGGAGAGAACTAGAGACAGAGAGGGACTGACGATTTTTTTTTAAGTTTCTAATTCAATTTTATTTTATTTTTTTATTGAAGTAGAGTTGATGTAGAATATTGTATAAGTTACGGGTGTATAAGATAGTGATTCAGAATTTTTGGAGTGTTACTCCATTTATAGTTATTATAAAATATTGGCTATATTTCCCGTGTTGTAAAATATATCCTTGTAGCTTATTTTATACCTAATAGTTTGTACCTCTTAATCCCCAGCCCCTATATTGCCCCCGCTTTCCTCTCCCCACTGGTAACCACTAGTTTGTTCTCTATGTCTGCTGGAAAGTAAGTGGAACCTGCTTCTTTTTTGTTGTATTTACTGGTTTGTTGTATTCTTTTTTTTTTTTTTTTTTGCGGTACACGGGCCTCTCACTCTTGTGGCCTCTCCCGTTGCGGAGCACAGGCTCAGCAGCCATGGCTCACGGGCCCAGCCGCTCCGTGGCATGTGGGATCTTCCCGGACCGGGGCACAAACCCGTGTCCCCTGCATCGGCAGACGGACTCTCAACCACTGCGCCACCAGGGAAGCCCTGGTTTGTTGTATTCTTTAGATTCCACGTATAAGTGAGATCATAGAGTATTTGTCTTTCTCATTCTGACTTATTTCACTGAGCATAACACCCTCCAAGTAAGATGTTCTTTACTAAGGAAAGGAGGTCCAGTCCCCAGTGGAGCTGTTAACGTACACCCGCCAGACCCTTGTCACCCTGGGAGATTCTGAGTCTGTGCAGAGTCTGGGGCTTGAACATCTGCTCTTTTGGAAAGCTTCCCAAGTGATTCAGAGTTTTAACTGCAGTTAAGTCCCATGGCTGTAGAAACTGACCTAAAAGTCACGAAGGTAATAACCAGCCATATCCGCTGTTACGCAAAAGCCCTTCCTCCACCTCACGGTGCTGAAGGACGTTCAGGATGCCGCCTGCGCTTCCAGGGAGGCCGAGAGTAAGTGTGTGAGTGTGAGCCGCTGTTTGCCCTCTTCCCGGAGCTCTGTGAGGCTGTGCCCTAACCTCACACCGCCGCTTTCCCGAATCATCCCACTCTCTCTTGGAGGAGCCCCCGCCTCTGGCTCCCGTGCTCAGGACGCTGAGATGGGGCCCCGGCAGGCAGAAGGGGTGGGCTTCAAAGCCTGTTGGAGGATCTGGGTCTGCTCTGCTTCCGAGCTTAGCTTCTCCCCAGGGTCTCGAGACTTTTCCAACTCCGTCTGCCTATTCGTTTCCAGGCAATGTGATGAAACTGGAGGAACAGAAGTCGGACCTGGAGAGGCAGCTGAAGACTCTGACGAAGCAGATAAAGGTGAGGCGCAGTCACGGCAGGGGTGGGACGCTCTCCATCATTTTACTGGAGGGGTCCCCGTGAACATAGGTTTGGACACCGTTGAGAGGTACCCTGACGACTCCCTGGCCCGCTGTGTATAGCAGGTTTGCGGGGCCCGGGCCCTGGAACCACGAACGGTGTGGCCGGGAGGGAAGTTCAGGCGGCCTTGATTTCAGGACGGGCACTCCGACACCCGAGGCTGCAGCCCCGCCTGCGCCTTTTCCCGGCGGCGAGGCTGCTACAGCCAGCCTTGCTCGGGGACCCACCCGGGGCCCCGCAGCCCCTGCCTGGGGGCCGGTCTGACGTGGGCGCGGACTTCGGCTCTTCTAGGACGAGACGGAGGAGTGGCGGCGCTTCCAGGCTGACCTGCAGACAGCGGTGGTGGTGGCCAACGACATCAAGTGCGAGGCCCAGCAGGAGCTGCGTGCTGTCAAGCGGAGGCTGCTGGAGGAGGAGGAGAAGAATGCCCGGCTGCAGAAGGCCCTGGGGGACGCGCGGGCCCGCGGCAGGTGGGTCATGCCGCATGCACCCTGGGCCGGGCCCACCTGCCCTCCTGGCCAGGGCTGACAGCATCCACGCACGTGATGCTGGGTGTCTGTCCTGAGCCCTCCCCTCCCTCCAGGTCCCTCTGCCCCTATCCCCGTCCAGGGAATAACTAACCCCATGGCCAGGGTATAACTAACCCCACGGCCAGGGAATAACTAACCCCACGCCAGGGAATAACTAACCCCACGGCCAGGGAATAACTAACCCACGTCCAGGGAATAACTAGCCCATGGCCAGGGAATAGCTAACCCCACGGCCAGAGAATAACTAACCCCCAGCCAGGGAATAACTAACCCCACGCCAGGGAATTACTAACCCCACGGCCAGGGAATAACTAACCCCATGGCCAGGGAATAACTAACCCACGGCCAGGGAATAACTAACCCACGGCCAGGGAATAACTAACCCACGGCTAGGGACTAGGGAATAACTAACCCCCGGCCAGGGAATAACTAGCCCACGGCCAGGGAATAACTAACCCACGGCCAGGGAATAACTAACCCCACTGCCAGGGAATAACTAACCCACGTCCAGGGAATAACTAACCCATGGCCAGGGAATAACTAGCCCACGGCCAGGGAATAACTAGCCCACGGCCAGGGAATAGCTAACCCCACGGCTAAGGAATAACTAACCCAGGCCAGAGAATAACTAACCCCCAGCCAGGGAATAACTAACCCCACGCCAGGGAATAACTAACCCCATGGCCAGGGAATAACTAACCCCGGCCAGAGAATAACTAACCCACGCCAGGGAATAACTAACCCACGGCCAGGGAATAACTAGCCCCACGGCCAGGGAATAACTAACCCCACGGCCAGGGAATAACGAACCCACGGCCAGGGAATAACTAGCCCACGGCCAGGGAATAACTAACCCCACGGCCAGGGAATAACTAACCCCACGGTCAGGGAATAACTAACCCCACGGCCAGGGAATAACTAACCCCCAGCCAGGGAATAACTAACCCCCAGCCAGGGAATAACTAACCCCACAGCCAGGGAATAACTAACTCCACGGCCAGGGTATAACGAACCCCACGGCCAGGGCATAACTAGCTCCATGGTAGAAATATTCCGCCCAACACCATCACCACCATTCCCGGTGGTGAGAAAGCTCGTCACTCGAGGGGACAAAGTTTTAGCCAAGTCCCCTCCGGGTTTGGAGGAGAGGATGCCCTTACATCTCATTGTTGGTCCGGGCAACTCGTGTCGGTCACCCTCACCCAGTGGGAGAAACTGACTGCTTCCTGGGGCATGGCTGCCAGGTGGAGGCCTCACCGTCCTGGCCCAGGACCTGCTTCTGTATTAGCAGCCCCCGTGGGCTCCCTGCAGAAGACCTTGAAATAAGCCACTTTATTAGAAAGGGTAAGCGTGGAGAACATATGTCCGGCTGATACGTGATTCCCTTATGCTCTCGAGGGGATCGTTACAGTCCATTTCCCAAGCAGGCCCTTCTTAACAGCGAGCTTTCAGAATAAGCTGTTCCGAAAGTGAGCCCAGAGTTGGTTATTGCTTAAAATTTAAATGGTTTACAAACAAGACTATCTACAGTATTTTAGACTTCAGCTAATGCAGTGCTGTCTCTTTCCCCATCAGGAATAGATGTCCTTGACGTTGAGATTCTTGGTTATTAGAAGTTATTTTGAATTTTTGGATTTCTCTCAACATAAGATGTAGTAGAATTTAAAAATCAGATTTATTACATTCTGGGTGCAGATTTGTACAGTTTGCCCTTTTTACCTGTTTTCCAGGGTTGACAGGGGCTGGATTCTGAGCCTCTGGGTCTGATACAGTATCATGAACTTCACAGCAGTGGAAAGAGTAGATTTCTGCTCAGAATTCTCTTTTGATTCTCTTACCAAACTTGCTTCAATCAATCTGGTGGCCCTTTGTTTATAAAAATCAAGATCATAGTTTTATAGTCACACCTATACCCTCTGGCCACCAAAAGCACGTGAATTTTAAGGGAGAAGCAGAATAGGAAAACTAGATTTCATAGTGTTCCCTATTGAAATGATTGTGAGGTCATTCTGGTTTGCTTTGGTGTCTGCTTTTGTATATTTGTCCATGTGTCTTGCTTTTCTATTGTGTGTCTTTGGAAGAGGAACCACATCATAACCTACATTGCTTCATATATACGTGAATTTACAGATAAATGATAAAAGACAAGCCTTGAGTTTAAGAGGTGGCCCTAAATAAGTTATTGTATGGGATGCTGCATTTCTTACTTAGGTTCCAAGATACAGGTCAGATTATACAACTCGAACCCTGATACCATAGGAAATCTGCGTGCATCTTGACAGTTTAGGGCCCCATGTGCTACATCCAACATTTTCAAACTTAGGGTCACTTTTTTTTTCAAACACAGTATGTTTCTCTTTTGATTTTCCAGTGATTTGCAAACCTACCTCCTAATTCGAGCAGTTTAAGCCCTTATCACAAAATGTTTCAAAATTCGAGAACTGACAGCAGTTCAGAACATGGCGTGCTGCTGAAACCCTGCAGGCGTCCGTGGGTTTCTTGGCTGTCACTGCCCTTCAGATGATTGCCAGAGTGGTTTCTTGTCTGATTTTGTGCTGCCCTGGCTAGCTGCCCCTTCTAAAGCATTGGCTGTTGGAAAGTTACTCGCAGATGGCTTAACCTCTTCCTGAACCTACCACGTGAGCCAGACTTGCAGCCAGCTGACACCCTCCGAGGTCCCAGAGCCGCAGAGGGTTTCCATCTTGGCTGCCTGGGTTGTTGACTTTGACAGTCTTCTGACAAGAACTCAGAAGTCCTTCTTGGTTCAGCCACAGCCAAAGAACTTGCAGAAAATTCTCTGATGGGGTCCTCCAAGTACAATCAAGAGAAAGTAAGAGCATCAGAAAAGCGACTTGATTGTGACCCTGGATGGACTGATTCACATTCTCATCAACTGGCGTTCGAGGGATCATAGGCCAGTAGGCAGGCCGGTGGGGTGCCTGGGTGTGAAGGCAAGTTAGCGTTTATTACCAAGAACTTAATAGTTAAAGTGGAACGTTACTTAGCGTAGTGGTTTTAGATGATTCTAAAGCTTAGCTCATTAGCCATCTTCAATCCTGTGATGTTTTCAGAGGTATTTTTATTTTGGAGTCAGAATAACTGATGTTAAGATACATGGGAAAATGAGGCTCTGGTCTCATCTTTGCCACCAACTGGCAAGGTTTTCTTCCCAGACCGAGCTCCTTTCTCTCTTAAATGAGAAGGTAAGGGCTTCCCTGGTGGCGCAGTGGTTAAGAATCCGCCTGCCAATGCAGGGGACATGGGTTTGAGCCCTGGTATGGGAAGATCCCACAGGCCACGGAGCAACTAAGCCCATGCGCCACAACTACTGAGCCTGTGTTCTAGAGCCCGCGAGCCACAACTACTGAGCCCATGTGCCACAACTACTGAAGCCCACACGCGTAGAGCCCGTGCTCCGCAACAAGAGAAGCCACCGCAGTGAGAAGCCCGCACACCACAACGAAGAGTAGCCCCCACTCGCCGCAACTAGAGGAAGCCCGCACACAGCAACGAAGACCCAAAGCAGCCAAAAAATAAATAAATAAATTTATTTAAAAAAAAAAATGAGAAGGTAAGAGTAGGTCGGATTTTAAGACCCCCCCCTAAGCTCTGTTCTGAGACTGGTTGGTCAGGGAGCTTTTCTCTGATGGGGGAGTCAGGGACACATGTGCCCCCAGTACCACATTCCCAGCTCAAGCCTTGGGTCTCCCTTACACGGTGGCATCTCCGTATTGTAGCTGGGCCATAGACCTCCTCTTTCTCTTCCAGAAATTTGAACAAACCCGTGTAGTTTTTGTGGACCTGAAAATGACCTGTTTTGCCAGACACAGAAATTATTGGATGGAAGGATAATGAATAACTTTTTCAACTCTGGCTGCGTCTTGTTTTGAACCATTAAGAGAAATACAAGGAAATTAAAACTTTCACCAAAGTTAAAACATCAAAACTTTTTCCTGAAAAGTTGAGTCCTTGGGCTTCAGAGAACACACGTGCAGCTCGACTTAATGCCTTGCTGGGCCACATGCAGCCTTTCTAATAGAAGACACTGTCGGTGATATGTACATGACATGGGCCTCTCATACAGTAGCAGGGAGAGACCTTTGTGTGCCTCCTGTTACTCTGACACACTATGGACCATTGTTTTTAGGGTGACATTCGATTTTTGCTGTACGTATCATATGACACCAATAAGCAGCCTCTTAAAGAGTTAAACACACTGAATGTCTGTGCCTAAATAATTGTATCAGTTTCTGAAATAGAACGTCGAAGGTTCCCAGTGTGTTTAGCTTGTACCACTGGTTCTATTGTTGTCACCTCTGAACTGAGCAGCATGGCGGCCGGTCACTGCCAGACTCTCTGGAATTGGCTTTTAACTCTGTGTGTGCACACGTGCATTCTGCCCTGACGTCAGTTGTGTGCCTGTGAGCCCTGTGTGTTGTTCTTACAGCTGTAATGTGTCACAGCCGCTCGCTGGGTGTCTGGAGCTGTCACTGGAAAGGGAAAGTAGGAAGTTGGAGGCATAGCTTCTTGGGTCACTGAGATGACTTGTCCAGCTCTCTCCCCGCGGATGCTTTGATACAGCATCTCCGGCCCTCCAGCGAGGGGGCCAGTTCTCGTGGGGATTCCTGAGCAGTTTCCGAGCGAACCTCACATGCGAAGCTCCAACTGTTGGGGGCCTCTGGCATTTTATTTGCCCCTCGAAGTAGAAACCGGTCCTCGGGTATCCCAACAAGCATAATCCTTTCACTCTCACATGACTTATTTTTTCATAGCTTCAGTTTGCATCTGTGGCCTTAGAGCTGTAGCCTCTGATTCTAAAGAGCTACATCTGCTTCTCTGCTCCCAGGCCCCTGTCTTTACAGATTTGCTTTGAAAAGTGGGCGTGAGCTTCCCGGAAGCCTTTAGAATGTGTATACTGAAATAGTAAAAGAAATTTTTTT